TGCTGGAACCAGGTAGCAAAGGAGAAACTTACTTACGTTCTATAGTAACCATGGTAACGGTAAAGGTCTGGACAAAGGCTAATGTCCTTTGGTCACTCGAGATATTTCATCACAGATCTTGCCGTTCTGGTAGTAAAGACCCAGGTTGCAGAAATGCAACAGAAATCTCCAGCCGCCATCTCCTCAATCACTTCAGCCCATTTTTACTTCTGTTCTCTCTCGAAGACTGCAAATGGCATTTACCAATAAAACCATTTCTTTGAGAAGGTCATAGAGAGTTTGAGAGAGGAGTTGTTTCAGATTAATTTGTCCTGAAATGGCCAAAGCTAGTTTAATGGAGGTGAGGAAAAATTGCCAAGCAGATTGATGTGTTTGCAAATACTTTCATCAATCACAGTGCTGAGTCTGCCAGCAAATGGTCTCAGCACTGCAGGACTCAGTCACTGCTAATTCCTCAGAGGAGATTTCACGGAAATCTTAAGAAAAGTCGCAGTCAGATGCTTACGTTATTAGAAACACTGACTTTTATTGATGCGTTACTTTGCTCCAGCTATGTTTGTCTCATTCTACAAAAAAGTAGTTTTGACAGGCTTTTGTTTGGAGAATGAATGTGTAAGGCGAAGTAGTGACTTTGGGGATTAGATGAAGGTAGGATGGATGGGTGTGTCAGAGTAAGAAAAACAGCTGCATGCAAACATGCTTCCCATTAATTATAAGACTGTTCCTGGTGAAGCTTGGATGTATGAATATCCTGATATATCCTGTTTGCTCCCTGGGTGCACTTATTGTATTGTGATTGTGTCATTGTTGCTCTGTATTATGATGGCCTACATTGTGTCAAGTCTAATACTGTTGGCAGTCATTGTTGCTCCGTAGTTTGGAGGCCTGCTTTTAGTCGAGTCTAATACTGTTGGCAGTCATTGTTGCTCCTTAGTTTGGAGGCCTGCTTTTAGTCGAGTCTAATACTGTTGGCAGTCATTGTTGCTCCGTAGTTTGGAGGCCTGCTTTTAGTCGAGTCTAATACTGTTGGCAGTCATTGTTGCTCCGTAGTTTGGAGGCCTGCTTTTAGTCGAGTCTAATACTGTTGGCAGTCATTGTTGCTCCGTAGTTTGGAGGCCTGCTTTTATTCGAGTCTAATACTGTTGGCAGTCATTGTTGCTCCGTAGTTTGGAGGCCTGCTTTTAGTCAAGTCTAATACTGTTGGCAGTCATTGTTGCTCCGTAGCTTGGAGGCCTGCATTGTGTCAAATCTAATTTTGTTGGCAGTTATTGTTGCTCCGTAGTTTGGAGGCCTGCTTTTAGTCAAGTCTAATACTGTTGGCAGTCATTGTTTCTCCGTACCTTGGAGGTCTGCATTGTGTCAAGTCTGTTGGCAGTCATTGTTGCTCCGTAGCTTGGAGGCCTGCATTGTGTCAATGTTGGCAGTCATTCTTGAGCCGTAGCTTGTAGGCCTGCATTGTGTCAATGTTGGCAGTCATTGTTTCTCTGTAGCTTGGAGGTCTGCATTGTGTCAAGTCTGTTGGCAGTCATTCTTGCTCCGTAGCTTGGAGGCCTGCATTGTGTCAATGTTGGCAGTCATTCTTGAGCCGTAGCTTGTAGGCCTGCATTGTGTCAATGTTGGCAGTCATTCTTGCTCCGTAGTTTGTAGGCCTGCGTTGTGTCAAGTCTAATACTGTCGGCAGGCATTGTTGCTCCGTAGCTTGGAGGTCTGCATTGTGTCAAGTCTGTTGGCAGTCATTCTTGCTCTGTAGTTTGGAGGCCTGCATTGTGTCAATGTTGGCAGTCATTCTTGAGCCGTAGCTTGTAGGCCTGCATTGTGTCAATGTTGGCAGTCATTCTTGAGCCGTAGCGTGTAGGCCTGCATTGTGTCAATGTTGGCAGTCATTCTTGCTCCGTAGTTTGTAGGCCTGCGTTGTGTCAAGTCTAATACTGTCGGCAGGCATTGTTGCTCCGTAGTTTGTAGGCCTGAGTTGTGTCAAGTCTAATACTGTCAGCAGGCATTGTTCAGCTACTTATACCCCAAAGTACACTTTTCAGTTGTCACTCCATAAGGATTCCCAGGCAGAATAGGCCCCCTTTAGTGTTTGAAATTAACCTGAACGTAATGGGGCCCATACCCTCATGTTAACTTGGTTAATACAATTGTAGGTTCCCCAGATTCACATTATGATGGTCCAGCGAACCTCAAGACCTCGAGGACCCACAACTTAATTTCACCCACTTTTCTTCATCCTCTTACAGACAGGGGTGGGCTTGTTCTCAAGAACTTACATTACACCGAATCAATATCTTGTGATTCATGGAACTTGGTTCCATTCGGTACGGTATTGTACATAAGTATTTTGAAGGCCAGTATTTGGTATAAATTCACATTTTGGCCTATATGTTTTTAAGGAATGATGTCCACATTTCACATGCGCTTCCATTATCCTGTTGACCGATCTTCCATATGCAAAATGAAATAAATATTGTTTAACTAGGGTGTCCATGGAAGGAGGGGATGAGATTGACTAGCCTTGATAGAATGTCAAGCCTTTCTAGCCAGCCCCAGCATTTGCCCTTTTGACATTTTCCAGAGAAATCATTTTTTCAATCAACATTACCACCTAGGCCGGGCTCAAGTTTTTAGAAAAATCACTACACCGACCATTTTGTGAAAATAGAGTGCTGCTTGCAAAGAGGCAAGTGGATTGTCTGAGAGCTTTACTTAAATTAACTGATCTCATAAAAGATGGAGTGGGTCAAGGTTGAAGTTGTTATGCAGGACGCTTCCACTTACAGTAACGACCTGCAGCAAAGGATGTGCACATTTCGGCGTCAGTCTGGAATGCATGAGAAGCATGTTTAGTTGAATATTATTATTTCACTTTCATATTGTGCCATTATGTTCCCAATATGTGATGTAATAACACAATGTCTGAAAATAACACCTTCTTTCAAATCTACATTGCACCAAATATGATTAATGCATCTGTATTTTTGTACCAAATATGATTAATGCATCAGTATTTGTGTACCAAATATTATTAATGCATTAGTATTTGTGTACCAAATATTATTAATGCATTAGTATTTGTGTACCAAATATTATTAATGCATCAGTATTTGTGTACTAGATGTGATTATTGCATCTGTATTTGGGAAACATGCTTTTTGTCATTTTGTCATGTTTATTTCATAATTTGGTTTTTCATAAACATATTGATCATACTCCATGGTGAACTGTTTTCAATTGGATTGTAAATAATGTTGGCCTGACTAGGCATAGTTCTCGAGCTAAACTCCAGCTAAGCTGTGATGCATAAACTTTGCGTAACATTTATCAGTCTGTTATGGTAGTTTAAGTGTGATCGATGCCTCAGAAGTTGACGATTCATGGTAGGGACTGGCTTAGGAAACGGTCTAAATCAACTGCAGTTCTGTTTTCTAATGTTTTGTGGGATATTTGCATGAATGATTTTGATGAGATGTATCTCATGGTGAATTCAAAGTACTGCATGATTCAGATAAGGCAAGTCACAGTTCTCAGTATGGTTTAGAAGACGTTTGGTCAGTGATTTGTTTAGCATTGTCTCTGTTCAGCTCAGTTTGTTTTTTCTGGTCTGTTCACCACTATCCCTGATCAATGGCCAGGATTCATGATGGTCTGTCAATATATGTGATTTATTACAGGGTGTATGAACACCAGAAACTAAATTGTGATATGTTGAAATAAACTTGAAATTAAATCTTTATTGATGAATGGAGACCATTTAATCATTTCTTGTCTTTGCTCAAACTATTTATCATGTTTATAGCTTAGCTTGCTAAAATACCTAAGTTTATTATCCCCGACACAAAGTGGGCGGGGATATAGGAACGGAGTTTGTTCGTCCATTCATCCATCCATCTTCTGTCCGTCTGCTTCTCAAAGGGGAAATGTTTCTCTATCTAAGTTAGAGAAATGATATTTACACGCTGATATAACTGGTCAAGATCTCAAATGAGTTCGAAAATTAGGGTCTTCAATTCATTTTTTACAGAGTTATGGCCCTTGCTCGGTGCTTTTCAACTTAGTGTATGGTTTCTGCAATACGGACAACTGTTCTCAGAAACTGCTGACGTTACATGAATGAAACTTTTGCAAGCTTATCAAAGAGATACTTGTCAAGACTAGGTTCGAAGATAGGTGCTGCAAACTATCTTGTTGCAGAGTTTATGCCCTTACACCTGATGCTTTTCAACTTCGTGCATGGTGTTTGCAGTGGGGTCAACTTCAATGGGGACATTTTTTTTCAGACACTACTGATGTTACATGAATGATTTGTTTGTTTGTTGTTTAACACCGCACTCAGCAATATTCCAGCTATATGACGGCGGTCTGTAAAATAATCGAGTCTGGACCAGACAATCCAGTGATTGACATCATGAGCATCGATCCACTCAATTGGGATCGATAACATGTATCAACCAAGTCAGCGAGACTGACCACCCGATCCCGTTAGTTGCCTTTTACAACAAGCAAAGTCGCCTTTACAGCAAACTTGCATGCTTATCTATGAGATACCTGTCAAGACAATTGGTGCTGTAAATTATTTTTTCCCAGAGTTACGGTCTTTTGTGTGTATTAATTTCACGTTTAATCATTTTCCTGATGACATAAAGCAATCTCTTCTTAAGCCTTCATAGGACTCCTTTTTTTAATAGTTTTTGTTCGCTACTATATACTTTATGTTAAAAAGTATTACTCTATGGCCATGTTGATGGCAGGGATAGTGATTAAGCCCTTTTCTTGTTTCAATTATTTTTTAAATTGTAGGTGAGCTTCAAATGTTTGAGGCACCATTTTTCTAAAAATGTAAATATCAATAAGTTGTCATTTAAGATGCATTTAAAAAATCAAAATGACAAATATCGGGGTAATGGCTTTTGAGAGTCTGCTGATTTGTTTCTTGTTTGCATTGTGTATTTGCTTGTCATGGAGTGAATCTATGTGTAACGAAAGTTGTTTTTGTGTTGCAGACAGGAAGTGAGGGAAATAAGCTCCTACCCAAAAATGTCTTCCCAAATGAGATCGGTCCAGTCATCGTGAATGATGACACGCTTGTGGTGGCCAAAAAGGAAAAAATCATCACACCACCTAAACAGCCCAAAGATGACACGCACAAGAAAAAAATCGAAGAAAAGTTGATACCTACTCAAAAACCAAAAAAAAGACATAAAGTGCCTAAACCCATAGATCATAGTAAAGTGAAGGACTATCTGGAGGATGGTCCGAACGATGTGCCCTGGGAGGAGTATGACGAAAAGGCGTATGTAGATAAGAAGCGGGTTCGGCCAGGGGAAGACAACTATGCAAGGAACAAGTTTAACCAGCTCGCCAGTGACAACACTAAATCCAACCGTGATGTCCCGGATACACGCCATCAGCTGTGAGTACAGTAGAACTGGGGACCTATCTGATCTGTTACTTCCATATTAGAGCTCAGTATTGACTGGTATACGGACTGACTATACTACTGGTATCACGATACACCACGTCAAATAATAAGAAATGATGAAATTCACTGAAATACGGCTCTAAAACCTCTTTCTTCATACATGTATTAATTATTATATCAAACCTTTAAGGGGGCACGGGGCCCAGTCGTCTAAGGCGCCATGATTCGCTGTGCAGAGTTGCGTCCCTTGGGCATGCCAGAAATGTATGATTGTGGGTTCGAATCGCGGTTCGCCCTGATTATGTTTCTAGGTTTGTTAGCACCATACTCGTGCTCGTGGGTTTGACTGAAGTGGTAAACGTCTGAGACCTGCATCACTTCGTGCTTTCCTCCCACATTAAGCTGACACGCCGTGATATAACTGTAATACTGTTAAAAGAGGTGTTAAACCCAACACACTCACTAACTCACTCAAACCTTTAACCAAGAAAACCACAAGAACAAAACAGGTTTAAATGAAGGGATGGTTATTAAACGTAACAGTTTTGTCGGGGCGTTGTCATCTAACACATCCTCATCTTCTGCCATGCTTACAGGTGGCGCTATGTTACTTCTGCCATTATGGGAGGTAACTCTATTAGTTCCTGTTCTATTTAAAGTGTATCGCGATCTCATAAACTGATTATTTATTTATCATGTTATTTCATCATAACAAGTTCAACAAGTTACAAAGTCAACATGGGCTGGTAGTTTTGTTGATTAACTTCCAGGTAATCGTTTGTAGGGGTCCACTGATTACCATGATTATATGCACATCAAGTGACCGTGTTAACACCATGAAATTGAACTGTCAAGAAAATAGTATCTGTGACCATCATGTGTCAGTAATGTAACGATAAGGTTTATGCTAGACTGAGGATTTGTGGCTGAAGAAACCAATCAGATTTTCTTTCTTCTGACAAAGAAACAGTAAATGTGCAGTCACCATTGTCACAGCTATGAGACTTCAATTTTTTAAGTGGAGACATTTTTTGTTTGAGACAGAAAATGTTATCAATCTGTACTTGAAGACATAAAACACTTTCACTGAAAAAAGGTGCGAACCATTTTCTTTTTGATCAACAACACATTTTCAGAACATCTAGTATGTCAAGTTACCATTTTGTTTGTTTGTTTACAACTGGAGAACAACAGATTTATTCCAGCATTTTTGGAACAGATTATTGTTTTAACCAAAAAAAACCAAAATAAACGTCCCCCCCCCCCTCAGAATATGAAATGGTCAGCCCATATTGATTGTAAAAAACCGTCCCCCCTCTGAATATGAGTTGGTCAGCCCATATTGATTGTACAACTGTGCGACAGATTGTGGGAACAGCATGTAGGTTTGTTCTCATCTGTAGACCATGGTGACCATGGACGGAGGGTGTAGCGATCGATCAAACTATCAGTGATCATGACCTGATATTAATACATCAATGACAAGTCAAGATAGGAACAGTTGACATGGGTTCCATGGAGAGATAGTGATAGTATCAAGTTATGAATAATATGATTAAATGCTCATTAAAGATTACATTCGTTTTTTTCCACAATACATCATGTATATTGATTTTGTGTGAAGAAACAAGTGACTATTGATTCACAAGTATTCATCGATACACAGTGTCTAGCCCAAAAGTCTTTTCAAATACTGATAATGTCACCCGAGTGTCTCTTGATATCAAATATATCAATATTTAATGAGTCAATAAAAGTTTAAAATGCCAAGGCTTATCAAGGAGTATTTTACTTTTATCGATGAATGTTGATATATTTAATATCAGAAGAGATCAGGGTCAATCTCATTAAAATCTGATCTAAGTTCTTGCTGCCGCTAAACAAAGATCTGAGGACATCCCATTACGGGTCACGTCAGAACGACCTTTCGAGGACTTTGACCGAGCACTGAAATAACTAACAAGAAGTCGACATCAGCCAATTAGAAAGCAGCTTTCACAAGCTTTACGGCACTCGTTTCAACCTGGCGACTTCCATTTCAGACGACGCTTGAAAAATATGTTGACACAGTTCTCGATCAAAATTTGGAAAACTTAACAAACGAACATTCCGGAATGTCTAATATATGTTTGAGATTGTATGGCAGTGAATCCCACGTACTCTGCAACGCCTCCTCCATTTACTTGTTTAGTGATGCTGTTGTCATGTGTAGATGATGAGAACATCCCACTTTGTTTCAGATGTCGACAGATGGGATGGAGACAGAACTTACCAACAACATCCGTTATCATCACTTTCCATAATGAGGCACGATCGGCACTACTCCGCACAATTGTCAGGTAGCTTGTTGTACACTTTGTGTTTTGATTGTTGTCACCAAATCATTCTTCTGGCCTGATTGGCCCTGATTGTACAACCCGGATCAGATAGAGTCGTGTAGGGCTGGGACGGGTAACTCGGGTACCCAGGTCGGGTGGGTTCTTAGTAGGACCCGGGTACCCACAGGAATACTATCACTAGTCAAGTGATATATTGCTTAATGACAAAAATTATCAAAAACTCTATGGTTACACTAAAAGTCACAAATGTTCGCATTTCTTTCTGACTATGCACCCATTTCTTCTGACTTTTCACATCTATGAATAAAGATATATAACTTGAGTCAACTTCAGTGTATGCATGACCAGATTGTTTAATACATGTATCTAAATACGTTTTGCCAGTGCTATGGTAAAAAAATGTCCCAGCCCTAGAGTCGTGTTACATCAATGGGTTGACAGCTGCTTCCAACTGATACCGATATTGACATGAGGCATATTTACATGATTTATGATCTTATCACTGCACAGCATTGTGATTGATGTGGACATGAACTAGACCAATGGACAAGTGATCAGTGCGATTGATTCTCTGACTCTGGGACCGCCTCTGTGGTCTAGTGGTAGAGCGTCCTCCCAGAGAGCGGAAGGTCCGGGGTTTGATTCCTGGCCGTTTCATACCAAAAGATGTTTTAAAATGGTACTTGTTGTTACCCTGTCTGTCGCTTGGCATTAAGGGGCTAAAGCAAGGACTGGTCGGCTCGGAGCCAGTATACACTTTCTGACTGGGGTATTCATGTTGAATTGGTATCTCAGTGGGCAAGCACTATAAAATCGGCATTAGTCTGGACTAGTACAAGCAGCCACACACACACACACCACACACACACACACACACACACACACACACACACACACACACACACACACACACACACACACACACACACACACACACACACACACACACACACACACACGTGCATGCCTGTCGCTATGTAAGTGCAATAATCTTGAACACATTCAACCCCATTTCACCTCACCTCACCTCACCTCTGAATCTGGTGATAGAAGTTTACTTGCGTTTTCAGTGTTTTCCGAAAGAGCCCCCCACACTTGATAGAAGAAATCATCCTGGTTGACGATTTCAGTGATGATCGTAAGTATGTTTGTAAATGACACTAATAAGATCTTTGTGGAAGAGGAAATGTCATTTGTGTATGTATCTTGATTTTATGTTGCATAGTGATGTCCTAATGAGCAATAAATTATCTCAATTCAATATTGATTAGTGGTTCTGTCTATAGTGGTTCTGAAAAGCACTTTAGGATGGAAGTTAGATGAAGCACATTTCCATTGCTGTTTGACCTGATGCCATTTATTCAACATTGCCTGACAAGAAGACTTACCGTATTCAACGTAATAAGCGCCCCGCTCTAATAAGCGCCCACGGCAACATTTGCTAAGATATTGGCTAGTGAACAATCCCAATTAGCACCCCTTCCGATTGATCAATGTACACAAGACTTATTTATTCGTGTATAATACGCACTCATGTGTTATATGCACCCTTATTTATGGGCATGTGATTCTGGAAAAATATATCTGTCGTACATAAACATTTCAGGCTGTCAGCATAAACCACGAAATTTATCTTTCAACTCTGTATTTTTCACCAAAATAACATTATAATAAGAGCCCCCTATTTCTAATTTTGAGAGCGCCCTGGGTGCTTATTACGTCAAATACGGTAATTATTACTGAACATTAGTCGTTCAGCTGTTGATTAAATTCACTGGCTGATCTTAATTGTTGAAATGGATCCCAACACTTGTAAGTCATGTTTGTTTCCAAGACAGATTCAAATGTTGATTGGATGGTCACAATGACAGCTAAAGGTTAAAGATTATTGAATCTTATGAAACCATGCTCTTAAAGTGTTATTGTTTCCCATTTCGTCTGCAGCTTCTGATGGCGATGAACTGGCTATCATTCAGAAGGTCAAGGTCATTCATAATAAGAAACGAGAGGGTAAGACTTAACATGCTTAAGGGGATACAGATCTTGATGCTATGTAATATTTTCCCCCTGTAACTTTTCACTCTTTTCTTGGTTGATTACATGGCAGTAGACAGGTTATAATATTGACCCAATAGTAAGTCTTGTACTTTGGTTTAGACGGACAGACTTGGTCCCAACACACCAGCTTGATATATATGCTGCTCACAGGACGTTAAGAACACCCAATTCTTTCATGTTGCTATAGTGTATCTGTATTGGCAGTGACCGCCTCCGTGGTCCAGTGGTAGAGCGTCCGCCCGGAGAGCGGAAGTTCCGGGGTTCGATCCCCGACCGCGTCATACCAAAAGACGTTAAATGATGGTACTTGTTGTTACCCTGTCTGGCGCTCGGCATTATGGGGCTAAAACAAGTACTGGTGGGCTCGGAGTCAGTATACTGTGTCTGAGTGGGGTATTCATGTTAAAACTGTGGCATGGTATCTCAGTGAGCTAGCACTATAAATCAGCATCAGTCCGGACTAGTACAAGCAGCCACACACACACACACACACACACACACACACACACACACACACACACACACACACACACACACACACACACACACACACACACACACACACGTACATGCACGTTGCTATATAAGTGCAATAATCTTGGACGCGACGTTAAACTCCATTTCACCTCACCTGTATTGGCAGTAAATGAGGAACAGAGTGTTACAATGTAATTGTGTGTCACTGTGCCCCAATGGCATGGTTTGTGCTCATGCTGTCAGTCACTGGTTTTGCTTGTCCATACTCAGCATCTCTCTGATATATCTGGAATATTGCTGACTTGGCGTAAATTCACTTGTTCAGCAGGTTAGCTTTTGTTCAGCAAATAGATCCATCGCAACGTTCAGTTTATGTTTGGTGATCATACCATTGGTGTGAAACAACATTCACTTACTTGGATTGGTTGAATTTACTGTTAATAGCAGATTCCTGCAAAATACAATGCATGATTGGTGATGCAGGTTTGATCCGGTCCCGAGTGCGAGGCGCTGATGCAGCCAAGGGTGCCATCTTGACATTCTTGGACAGTCATTGCGAGTGTAACGCCTTCTGGCTGGAACCCCTTCTGCTCCGAGTGGCAGAGGTAAGGTCGATGTCTTTATTTCATGTGTAATACAATACAGGTGTGCCACACTGATGTGTGTGTGTGTGTCCCATTACAAGGAGATAATGATGATGTCAGGGAATTCTCATCTTCCAGAGGCAAGGGAGATAACTGACTTTAAAAGTCCAGTTCCACCCTTGCCGAACTAGGCTGGAATTTCTGGGCTCGATCGTAGCGCCACTAGTGGCTTTTACAAGTTATGTCCCTTCTATGTCTCTCCCATTGACCATTGATTCCATCTTTCATAATCATCACTTGCATTTGCTTTAAACAAAATGGGGGCGGTCGGGTAGCCTAGTGGTTAAAGCGTTCGCTCGTCAAGCCGAAGACCCGGGTTCGATTCCCGACATGGGTACAATGTGTTAAGCCCATTTCTGGTGTCCCCCGCCGTGATATTGCTGGAATATTGCTAAAAGCGGCGTAAAACCATACTCACTCACTCACTTAAACAAAATGGTAGCGCCCTGTCAAGACAATCTGATTGATAATCAAACTCTATATTGTGATAAAACTAGTCTTACTTTGTGAAGTGTATCAAATCACGTGAGCACCTTGATTACATACATGAAAAGATTTAGCAAATATCTGTCGACACCGAGTTGGTGGTACACATGCTTTGCAAATCCTGCAATCAACCGTAATCTGCACGGCAGTTTAAGAACCAGATGTCCATTTCGAGAGATGGTGAATTCTCTTTTTTTCGCCATTATACGGAAACGTGTTAGAAAAGCATTACCTTAAATTCTGAATTAATTTTTTTAAAGTTTTAAATGTTAAAATTATTAACAACTTACTTACATGCAGCCAGGGTAACATTAAGATCTCAGATCTTAGTGTCCGTTTATGCCTGACCGGCATCAACTCAGTAGTTGTGAATGTTTATCCCTGATTTTAATGACAGACTTTAGGATATTGATGTTTGCCTTTTTTTCCAAATGGGTTATAAACTCTTTCTTCATTGGTAATGACATTTTAATATAATCGTGTGAGTAACATTTGAACTTTACCTTTGTAGGATCGCACACGTGTTGTGAGCCCCATCATTGACGTCATCAGTATGGACAACTTCGACTACATTGGAGCCTCGGCGGACTTGAAGGGTGGCTTTGACTGGAACCTGGTGTTCAAGTGGGATTACATGACGGCAGAGGAACGCAATAAGAGAACTAGAGATCCCATCTCAGCCATTAGGTAACGCAAGGAGCACACTGATACCTACCCTCGATTGCAGGGTCATGCACCCCACTTACAACAGCACCCCAAGAGGCAGAACAGGTCCCGAGTACCTCTGCCTGTAGCAGGAGCCTATATTGGGGATCGGATGGCCACAATGGCTGCTGATATGAATATTACACAAAAGAAGTTAAATGACACCTGATTTTTTCATAACAGATTAATTTTAATCATATGGAAAAATCAGGTGTAGTTTTTCATGATGTCATATTTTCTCTGTTTTATTGCAGGACTCCACTGATTGCTGGGGGACTGTTTGCCATAGACAAGTCATGGTTTGAGGAACTGGGAAAATATGACTTGGACATGGATGTATGGGGCGGGGAGAACCTCGGTAAGTCCCAGATGGTCTGTCTTGTTGGATTCCTAACTTGACACCCTTGACCCTAAATATATCGTATTAAGTGTCCTTGTTGACACTCGGAGAAAAACATAAAGACAACAAGGAATTATGGATATTGTCCTGAATGGAGGAATTTAATTTTTGCAGTCTTTATCAGCATGAGGATGAAAATGTCATTGTCTTGAACATGGATAAGCAATGGCTATTGAAGAGTGCTGTAGACTTAGTGTCGCATCTCAATGTGTATGTTGTCCAAAGGGAGATAATCAAAGTTCTCTCCCTTTTTGTGCCTTTCGTTAAGGATCCTTTGGTGGCGTAATAACATCTGAAACGTTTGAAAAACTTAAGTGATTTGCAGAAGATTGCCTAGGATTTGGGTATGTCCTTTTGATCCTGCCATGGTGTTTCCTAACAATCAGTGTGTTTCCCTTTTCAGAGATCTCATTCCGAGTCTGGCAGTGCCATGGTGCTCTAGAAATCATTCCATGCAGTCGAGTTGGACATGTGTTCAGGAAGCAGCACCCTTACACCTTCCCAGGGGGGAGTGGCAATGTGTTTGCTAGGTACGGCGCAGAACGCAGTCTTTATATCACCTTAACTAAAGGCACATATACTATGCCACGCCGAGCCACACCACGCCACGCCACATAGCACGCAGCACACCACACCACCACACACCACCACACACCACCACACCACACCACACCACACCACACCACACCACACCACACCACACCACACCACACCACACCACACCACACCACACCACACCACACCACAGTTAAAACAAATTGAGCATGGCCAACATGACATTGATATTTTAGAATTACAAATCTGACAATCACATAGAAGGAATAGTATAACGATGATGACGACAATGATGATGATGATGATGATGATGATGATGTCTCTGTTTGCCAGGAACACACGCCGAGCTGCTGAAGTGTGGATGGATGACTATAAGCAGTTCTACTATGCAGCAGTTCCCTCAGCCAAAAATATTCCCTTTGGAGAGTAAGTGATTCTCAACCTACAATTAGTACCTTAGGGATTATGGAAATGATTTCCAATGTTCTCTGGCCAGGTAGTTGTTTGAGGGAGATCCCAGGTACATGTATGGACCATGAAGAGACGAGTAGTGCAAGCAGATGAACTGTTCAGTACATATACTTCATGGAACTGAAGAACTGACCTGCATAGTCTGGTTTGAAGTTTTGCCCCGCCACCAACTTGCATCCTGGATAGTTTCGCTTCGGAGATAATGTCAACAACTGTATCTCTCTTATCACTTACTTGGCACAGAATTTAATTTGAACATGAGCTTGAAATCAACAACCAATCAAAATGTCTCTTCTGAACACAAGTTCAGCATGCATCTATATTCAGAATTGTGGTCTTGTTTGTGGAAGCTCTCAATATATTTAATCAAATCAATGGACTGTTGTGAAAACAGGACAGTGGGATAGCCAAGTGGTTAAGGCATTTGCTAGTCTCGCGAATACCCTAGTTCGATCCCCATGTGGGTAAATGTGTGAAGCCCATTTCTTGTGTGCCCCGCCGTGATATAGCTAGAATATTGCTAAAAGCGGCGTAAAACCATACTCACTCACTCTCTCTGTTTACTGTCTATTGATAGCGTCAATGTCTGTTGATAGCGTCATGTCATTTAAACCAGGCTCAGGCTAAGACTTTGCTGATGAATGGTTCCAGGGTCTTCGTCTTTGTAGAATGGAGATAGAGACGATGTCACTGGGTATCTGTTGATATTAAATAGATCAACTGTGTCGAAAATGTCTGAAAATCTTTGGCATGCTGGCGATTTTTACACCTTTATCAACAAGTTTTGATTTAATTGATATAAAACGACACAAGGGTGAGGTTCTATTTATCATCCACAATCTTTCAACTTTTCCTGCATGTAAACAGTAATAACCAGTGTGTTGAGTTTAAACAATACAGCTTCAAGTTTCAGGTTAATGATGTCATTTGATTATGATGTAACTGATGACATCACAATGGTCTCCAGAGTTTTGTGATGCAGTTGCTTGATAGTGAGTGAGTGAGTGGGTTGGGTTTTAAGCCGCTTTTAACAGTATTCCAGTTATATCACGGGCGTGTCAGCTTAATGTGGGAGGAAAGCCCGAAGTGATGCAGGTCTCAGACGTTTACCACTTCTGTGAAACCCACGAGCACAGGTGTGGTGCTGACAAACCTAGAATCATAATCGGGGCGAACCGGGATTCAAACCCACAATCATAGGTTTCTGGCGTGCCCAAGGGACGCCACTCTGCACAGCGAATCGCGGTGCCCTAGACGACTGGGCTACCCGTGCCCCAGTTGCTTGATATCACCCCAGGGCAATCTTCTTGGAAACCAGCTTTGGAGGTTAAATAGTACCCTGGATAATCAGAGATGGTCAACTTGTTGGTTTCTATCTTGTTTACAATTTACAAATCAAATCTATCAATGAATTCAAATTATTCAAAACATTTAGAGCAAGCCCCAAACAAATTCTTCACAAAGAAATCCATTCTTTCTGCAAACAGAATTGTAGATGCTTTGGTTTTGTGACATATGTGTGTGATTTTGTTATTTCAGTATTTCAAAACGTTTGGCGCTGAAGGAACAGTTGCAATGTAAGCCATTTAAATGGTTCCTAGAGAATGTCTACCCAGAACTGAAGTAAGTATTGCTCCAGATCTCTTCTTACATCCCTTCCCATCATCTGAGTATTCGTCATGATTGTTGCGCTGGCTGTATATCATTGGAATTAGTTGTTTGGCATACGTGATGTTTCAGCATCAGTTTCAGTCATCATCTTTGGTAACCGTGGCAACATTGGGTTCCCACAAACCAGGAGGGATATGTAGTTTGTTGTTTGTTCATCATCTCCCTCTCCCATCCTCATCGTCAGATGCAGCACCCACAGCTTGTAACAAACACGGGGCTCGGTACTGATCCCCTCTCCATACCACCCCCCGTAGCATCCTCATTGTCAGATGCAGCACCCACAGCTTGTAACAAACACAGGGCTCGGTACTGATCCCCTCCCCATACCAACCCCCATAGCATCCTCATCGTCAGATGCAGCACCCACAGCTTGTAACAAACACAGGGCTCGGTACTGATCCCCTCCCCACACCAACCCCCATAGCATCCTCATCGTCAGATGCAGCACCCACAGCTTGTAACAAACACAGGGCTCGGTACTGATCCCCTCCCCACACCAACCCCCATAGCATCCTCATCGTCAGATGCAGCACCCACAGCTTGTAACAAACACAGGGCTCGGTACTGATCCCCTCCCCACACCAACCCCCATAGCATCCTCATTGTCAGATGCAGCACCCACAGCTTGTAACAAACACAGGGCTCGGTACTGATCCCCTCCCCACACCAACCCCCATAGCATCCTCATCGTCAGATGCAGCACCCACAGCTTGTAACAAACACGGGGCTCTGTACTGATCCCCTCCCCACCCTCTACCCCCTACCCTCCACCCCCACCCCATTCACCACCCACCCCAACCCAGCCCTAGCATCCTCGTCAGATGCAGCACCCAAGCTGGTATGAAACCCATCTTTCAATCCAGGCTTGTATCAAACACATGGCTCGGTACTCATCCCCTCCCTACCCTCTACCCCCTACCCTCCACCCCCACCCCATTCACCACCCACCCCAACCCCATTCACCACCCACCCCAACCCAGCCCTAGCATCCTCGTTAGATGCAGCACCCAAGCTGGTATGAAACCCATCTCTCAATCCAGGCTTGTATCAAACACATGGCTCGGTACTCATCCCCTCCCTACCCTCTACCCCCTACCCTCCACCCCCACCCCATTCACCACCCACCCCAACCCAGCCCTAGCATCCTCGTCAGATGCAGCACCCAAGCTGGTATGAAACCCATCTCTCAATCCAGGCTTGTATCAAACACAGGGCTCGGTACTCATCCCCTCCACACCACAGCATCCTCATCACCAGTGCCAGCACCCACTGCTTGCATCAAACACAGGGCTCGGTACTCATCCCCTCCACACCACAGCATCCTCATCACCAGTGCCAACACCCACTGCTTGCATCAAACACAGGGCTTGGTACTTGGTATCTCCTTCCATAACTAGCACTTCAGTCACTCCCATGTAGCTATTCCCATATATCAGGTGGTAAAAGTCTAAACGACATTATTTCAGGCTTCCATCCCCCTTTAGATGTCAAGCCATGATGTAACTGAAAAACTGTTCAAAGGGCTTTATACCTTTTTCGTTACATTAATTGTAGCCACAGATAACAACTAAGTAAAAGTAACAAAGTAAAAAAGATCCTAATTCAAGTACATTCAGTTGCCTTCCCAACTATAAACATGGCTGTTATAGACAGAATGCTGCATACAAGTATAAATATGCTTGTGTCCCCTCAAAATAGAAGGGCTACACAAACTAGAGTTATCTCCCTTTAATATGTTACACTCAAAGTCCTTCCCAGCGCGTGACACCTTCGTTACACTCTCGGTAACATCGCTGCCACCAGTGTGGGCGTGGTCATTACAAGAATCTTGAAATTTGTCCTCTAACCCCAAATGTAGTGACGTTTATACTTTTGTTTATGTCTTTGGGAATGCCATCATATTTCATTTTGAAAAGGATTACAACTGACCATGTTTTCCAGATGAATTTACTGTGTTGTTTTTATAATCAGATTGGTTTGAGATTGCAGACTAACTGAAAATCAACCAACTTCTCCCTTACATTCTTACTATATCAATAACACGATAGTTTTAATGAAACAGAAATTCAAATTGACAAACAAACAAAGTAATTTAGCAACGATAAGTGTATTCTGCGTGACGACAGTCGTCACTTGTTTGTAAACATAACGGTCATTCGGTTGCGAGTTCAACTCCAAGCATGGTTGTGGCCTCCTATCACAGTAGGGAGTTTCGACTGGTGGCAGCGATAGTATAGAGAGCTTCGCGAACGGGCTATCGCTGTGAGGAGCTTGTGTTACACTACGGAATTATCTCCCTTGACCAGGTTTAAGAACGCAAAAAGTGGTATTTTCTCAATGAAAACCAAGCTCATTTACTAACAATGAATGAAGAGTAACAGTGAGAATAGCTGAGGTGATAGTTTGAAAGTCCTAGGTAGTTAGTATTTCTGATAACTGTGATGTATACCATAGAAGTTGAGGGGGTTGACATTCAGAAATCAGAACTCCTGGAGTTGTGGGAACCCTGTCGTCAAGGTCGTTGTCCCCGGTTACCTCCACCCTGCTAGCACATGTATACCTCTTGTCTTATTGTACATTAGTAAGATGTTTCATGCATGAGTTCCACATGAGTCAGCTTATATTAGACACACCTTTCTGTTTGTTTTTTAGTTTGGGTGCACATGTGCTCTATGAAATATTCATAGGAGTATTTTTAAGCAATTTGACTCTTTTGGGAATTGGCGATGACATTATTCTGGTTTTAGTTGGTATTTATTTAAGGTTCGGTGAGAAAATTGAATTTGAAATATTTATATATTTCTCTTTGATTTCACAAATTTTCAGGAATGATGAATACAGAAACGTGTTGATTGCCAACTTTTGTTGTCAAAATTTGACATTTTACATTTCAAACTGACAAGCTCATTTTGTCCTCAAAAATTACATTTGATAGTTGAACCTTGAAGATTGTATCAGGACATTAAATCAATTCAGACATGAAAATGGTCAAGTTAAATTTTCAAATTTAAGATTTGAGTCATTTAGGGCAAGACCTAATACCATTCTTTGCTTGCGTTGCCAAGGACAACAAAACTAGTGTCAGAAATGTTAACTGAGTTTTGCAGCAGGATACCACTGTACGATTGATTATTGTGCCCAGAATACAATATTAGGTAGGGAGAAAGGCCATGTGTGTCCAAACTGGATGATATCCGCCGTGGTATTGTGAGGTTTGACAGCATCGCATGCCTCCTCCTTTCACAGAGTGCCTGACACCCAGGACGTAGCTTTTGGCAGTATACAACAGTCGGGCCAGTGCATTGATACCATGGGACACTTTGCTGACGGGACCCTCGGCATATACCCCTGTCACAATGCCGGCGGCAACCAGGTAGACACACCCACTTCTTGCAGAGCGTGATGATTGGCTGCCTTAGATAGCTCGGAATGCAAGCTACATACATGCTGCTTGGCGGTATTGAGGGTGCTTTTGGTACATGGTGCTTTTGATGAAGACAATGGGGAGATCATAGTTTGGTGGAAAATATTTTCAGAATTTGGCTTTGATTGTAAAAATTGGCAAGCTTTAAATTCTTTAATTATTTGTATCACTGATCATTTAAATGTGACAAAATTAATTTTCAGGATTTTTTGAGATGTGTAAATTATGAAATGACAAAAAACAGCTGCCATTTTGAATTTGCATTTAGGTCATGGTCAAATTTGAAGAGTTGTTAGATCACTAGGTCATTTGTAAATCTGTGTTAAAGTATGGAAGTTAATATAAATTATGGGAGTTAAGACAGTCATAGTGCAGATAACTTGTCCCAGAGTTCCTTTAGCTTGAGCCGTCACTGCCATATGAATTGCTGTCCTGTCCACAGACCCATATTGGCAGATCCAGGTATCAGCACATTATGCCATGTGTAGACGTAATGATTTGTGGAGAAGCTTTTCAGATGTATTTTATATGTCACTGCTTGCAAATAGTGTTGCTCATAGACTAGTTTTGTGTACTCTGTAAACCTCCCTATATTCATGCTTTCATTGTTCCTCCATCATGCATAGGATCACATTCATCCTCATCGCTGTTGTCATGACCTGCCTCTCATTCATATTCCCTCCATCTCAAATCTCACCAAAATAGGAAAGAAATGACCAGTTTGTGCATTCTCTTCCTCTGTTACCCCATGGGGATTCCGGTTAGAATAGATCCCCAGCAACCCATGCTGGTCGTAAGATGCGACCAATTGATTGAATGTCATCGTACTCCGAAGACCTGAATCGTGCTCACAATATCAATCACTGGATTGTCTGGTCCAGACTCGTTTAATTACAGGCAGCTGTCATATAGCTGGAATACTGCAGAGTACAGCGTTAAACTACAAACACACTTGAGGATTTTGGTGGATACGATGTGTGAACTGGCTGATGTTGTGTTGTTGTTCTCCGGCTGTGCTGAGCCCATGTCTCCAGTCTACCACTTGTGTGCTTGTCGCACCACTCAGTCATTTACAAGCTGCGGTGATATAGGTTGAACATTGCAGACTGTAGCATAACAACCAAACTCACACATGCATCCACCTAAATATTGCTGGAATTTTGCAGACTGCAGCAAAAGGGATCACTCACTCACTCAGTCACTCACTCACTCGCCCGAACACCCACCCACTCAGTCACTCACCCACCCAGAACCCACTCACCCATCCCACTCACTTACCCAACTACCCACCCACCCACCCACTCACTCACTCACTCATTCATTCACTCACTCACTCACTCACTCACTCACTCACTCACTCACTCACTCACTCACTCACCCACTCACACGATCACTCACTCACTCACTTGATCACTCACTCACTTGATCACTCACTCACTGCTGGAATATTGGGACATAGCATAGGACTCATCTCACTCAGTATCAATGAACCAGACACCGTGATCACCAGAATAGGCTTACTTCTGTCACAGGCTGTGATGTGACTTAACACTGTTGACTGCCGCAGTAAACTATGTATACACACACAGACTCACAGAACAGTTCCACAGCACCCTATGAGGATCACTGAGGTGACAAATATGGGAATCATCTGGTCACAATGGCTGCTAACCAGTTTGTCTGATCCACGTACAATTCCACTACAATATCATACACTATGGGATAAAACATGATTCACACGACTCTGTCCAAATTTGATGTATTGAAGATGAGAGGCATGTTTCAAACTAACATATGAGGGAACATTAACATTTATTTCATATAATCCAATCCATCACAAACATGTTAAGCAAATATTAATACTGTTGTGAACTTAAATCATCAGATTTTGCTGTAAATAATTCAAATGAGTTATTCATACAAAGTCAGTTGTAAGTTCATGAAGATGCTGTGGTGTTCCAGGAATTCTCATTGACAAAGGATGGCAGCATCAAGCACCTGGACCTGTGTATCACCCTCACAGGCGATGCCCCTGGGACTGTTGTCAAGCTCTTCCAGTGCCAGTCTGACAACATTCTACAGGTAACCCAGACCCCCAAGCCTGTGGAATGTATTCATTCATATATGTTATTTATATGTCATATTAGCCTAAACAACACAAGACTTGCTCCAACTTATCAGTGTGTGCCAGTGGTGGATCCCCCTTTTTTCAGACATGTTGATTTCAAGTGACTTTGTGACTTAGATATTATGTGCCCCTCCCATCCCCCTTGAAAATTCTGGATCCGCCTCTGGTATGCTTACCTCCCTTTTCATTGAGTAAATCAGGTGTGCCTAATTTATGGTAGCAATAGACATCATGGAGACTTCTGAACAATCTGTGTGTTCTAACCTTCCCTGATACTTTTACAGTTACCTCCCTTTATTGTTAGTGAAGCAGGTATGGTCGTTATCTGGTAGCACTGCAAATTCATGACTGATACTAGCTAATCAGTGTATACTGTCCTTCTCTTGATACCTAGAGTTACCTCCCCTTTGATTAAAAGTTCAGTAATGCCTGACGTTGTGTGTACCTCTATGCCCTATGACATGCCAAATTAACTGATTGGCCAAGATGTTACCAATGATCTTGATATGTGGAGATATCTCAGAGGAATAGGTCCGGGATACGGCCAAGTTATCACGATGCGAAACATTCAGTCTTTGTGAAAGGATTTATGAGTTTATTTCAGAAATACATAACTTAAAGGGGTACTGATCTAACGCAATTCCCCGGGACTGGTTGTTGCCTTTGTTATTGTTTTTTCCCAGTGAGTACCCGGATGTATAGCAGAAATCTAGACCAGTTCGCGACCTCTGCTGCGCCATTCGTAAGCGCATCAGTCACTTTTATGGGTAGTAATAAGGGCGTATGGTCACATTGATCAACAAAATGAAATACAGTTTTCGAGATAATAAAGAAATGTAGGTATCTTTGTGAGTAGCATCGGTAATGGTGACGAAGTTTTGATAAGTCACTTGCTTGGTAATTTTGCGATTTTCGTTTACACTATTTTGACTTGCAACACAAAGTATATATTTCACCTGAGCATATGCTTTTTTATAGTGTGTATATTTTTTTACTGTCAAATGTGTAACACATTTATTAAACGTCTAAATATTCAGTTATTTTATAAAGTGACTGAAAAACATATCCATCTGTATTATTATGACAACGAATTCCAAACATTTTGATGTTTAATGTCATCACCAAGAGACTGAAAATGTAACGTTGAAAAGTACATTTCTAAGTTGTTTGGCTTTTAATCCTACATAATAATCTGTTGTGATGTGTGTAGGCCCTTTTGATCGTCTTGATCCATCTGGACAGATTTTTTAGTCAAAATGACTGAAATATTTACACATTTTATAAATTGCCTGAGAGAATAACATTTTACAAATTGACGGTAATATATACACGCTTACAAAGGAAAAGACCTGTGACAACAACGACTATCGCGCATTGAAGAATTTCCCAACCAAGACGTAGAGAAACAAGAACGAATCGGTTCAAATGAAGGTCTGGAAAACAAAATGCAGATATCATAATTACAACCTACCAAATTTATATGTATAAGTTTTAGGCAGCTTCCTTGTTCGAGGAATGTATCCGCGAATATCCACACAAAGGAACAATATCCCACTCGTCTGCAGCTGTACAAAGAAACTTATTCGATGTCACGTGTCTCAGTAACAATCAAATATTTTAAAAGATATATATCGTTTCGGGATATTATAACCCGTGTTCGTTTCTCAACTGATCGCTTGGATTGTTTCAGGTGTTTTACATAGGTGTCAAGTCTCAATGGTCGGCTGAGAAAGCCCACGTGACAACTATTTTCATAGCGTCCACGGTTCCTAAAAATTCCATTGAGTGATAGATAACAATGATCAATCAATCAACGTATTATCAGTTAACCCTTTGAACAAAGTATGTTGTTTTTACATCGGCACTTCGCGCCATGATATGAGTGTATTCCCTTTGTTTTAGTAAACCTAGACATGTAAACACTCACTCTTGACATATCCACTGTGCAAGATAACAGTGATTAATCAATCAACGTATTTTCTGTTAATCCTTTGATGACTAGGAACGATCCGTTGATTTACAAAAAAAAGTAAATCAACTGATCATTCATCTCTTGCTGGACTGCCACGTGCATATTACATAACACACATTTCACCTCACTTCAAACCTGGATTTAGATTGAATAATTACCCCAGACATAATAAATGCCAAATGGGAACCTTTGTCAGGTAATATAAGTGGTGCTACCACTAATTGTACCTGTAATAAATTCATTAACTGAGCATCAAGTGAATGACGACAAATACACAAGTGTAGGGTTATACGAGAAAACGTGGATGACAACAAGGGAGTAGTAATCGTATTATCGATGCAAGCCGAAATCCGAAAATGCTTTCACTGCATGGATACTGTTTTTAGTATTAAACTATAACCATCTGGGGTATTTCCAAATGACGACATCCGATGAGCTCCCTTGTTCTTTTTGTCTGTTTGTTTAGGCTGAAGAAATGAATTAACATGCGCCCTTTGTCGAAATCTTTATAGATCACAGTTAACCAATCAGTGTTCAAAAATGCGTAAAACAAATATTGCCTCCAGCCTCCAAGTTTATTTAGCTGTCCTTGCAGACGGTACCCCAGTCTCTGGTCACGCTCAGTTGCGTTGCGTATCATCCGGGTACTCACGGGGGAAAAACAATAACAAAGGCAACAACCAGTCCGTTAGATCAGTGCCCCTTTAAGCAGGCAGGTCAGGTCAGCTGAGGTTATAGATTGACTGAAATGGGTATTGGATGAACATTACTTCAGTATTGCTTTCTGGGGATATCTGCTGTGATATAGCTTAAGTATTGGTATCAGAAGTTATTACCCCCACCATGAAGTGGAAGGGGGATATAGGAATGGGTGCTGTCTGTCCGTCCTTCTGTCTATATTTCAGTCTGTCCGTCCGTCCGTCCGGCATGTTTCATTTCCGGAGCAGAACTAAATAACCATGATAGATATCTTAACCAAACACAAAGATAGGTCTAGTGAGGAACTGGTGCCTTTTGTTAGTTTGGATTGTTTTTTTATCAAAATTTTTTATTCCATTGCAACAACTTCGACTTACACTGAAAATGGCTGTAGTTTTCGTTTCCGGAGCAGATCTTGAAAACCATACAATATTTCTTCACCAAACTTGGCACATAGATAGGCCTGGTGGTAAACTTGTGCCTTTTAATAGTTTGGGATTTTTTTAAGCATGTTTCCTTTGCAAGAGACTTGACTTAGGCTCAAATACGTGTAGCATTCGCTTCTGGGGCACAACTCAGAAACTGTTTACACATTCTGCAAAAAGAGATATGCAGGGTGGTCTGAGAACCGTTACCATAATTACCTAATTAAGATGTATACCACTTGACAAAGGAACTTGCACAAGGTATATGGTGAATTATTGTGAAAACACAATTTACAAGTGGCACCCAAACCAGCCTAGAAGATCCGGGGTTAGAATAGGTCTTCAGCAACCCATCTTGCCGTAAAAGGCGACTATGCTTGTCATAAGAGGCGACTAATGGGATCAGGTGGTCAGGCTCGCTGACTTGGTTGATGCATGTCATCGATCCCAATGGCGTGGATCGATGCTCATGATATTAAACACTGGATTGTCTATATAGCTGGAATGTTGCTGAGTGCAGCGTTAAACAACAAACCAACCAACTTCCTCGCAGTGAACATAGTTCACGGGGGCTAATGCCAGACATGTCACAGTGGCGGAGGAAATGAGTATTTTTAGCTTATTAGTTAGAATGGCTATCTGCGGATTGTAGCTTGAGTATTGCTCTCTGCGTTGCCACCTAGAGTATCACCAACTGTAAACAAATGCAACAAACAAACTAAGGCATGGCTGTTTGTTTCAGGTGTGGGATCGCACTGAAGGAGAGACGATGCTGAAGCACAGGACCAACAATCTGTGTCTGGACAGTCAGGTTGTACAGACTGAAGGACTCACTGCCAACCACTGTAACCCGGCCTCAACCTCTCAAAAATGGTCTTTTACTTTAAACAATATGAGGTAGTTCCAGGACGGAGTTCATCACATGCAATAGTTAGTTTTTTCCGTGTCCAACTCTCTATGCAATATTCTGAGTTTGCTTTGATTTTGGTGACGTTGAATTTTTTTAAAGAAACTTTTATTTACTTTTAATTAGTGTTGATACCAACATTTTGTGTTGTCTGGAAGATGAAATCCACAAGTCCATGCTGAAATAGTCTGAAATGGATCTGTTCCTTTATTTACACATCATCTTTCATAGAAATCTTTCGTTACAAAATCTGATTTACATCGTACCAGCTGTATCAGCTTTGAAACCTTATTACAAAACAAACCTACTTTTCAATCACAGTGCCACTTATTTGGTTGACTACTGTAATGTTGACAGCAAACAGGTACAGTGCATATGAAGACTATATTCTTAATGTGATGTAACTGCTCAATGTGTGATACCAAACATTTAGAAATCAAAATAATGAATGTGATCCAGTTACCATGGTTACGTATTATATATGTAATCAGGTAATATTTTAACTTAATGCTACCATGACATCATGACCTTTTTGATGGAACTTATATGGTTTTTATGTCCATTTTTAATTAGATTTTAATATTTCTTTTGTAATGATTCTTGTATTTTGTCAGCGTGTTTGTAGTCATATGAGCAGAAAATAGTCTCAGGATATTTGTTTCGTTTTTTGGCAAGTCTGATAGTGACAGAATTAAGGCCTGAAATGACGCACCGAAGTCATGATGCAATATGGACTTATGTACCGTTCAACATATATTCTAATTTCATATATTAGACGTAATGAAAAATGTTTGTTCCAAAATCAGTTTTTGATAACAAAACATCGGTAGACCCTCTGATGGATGATACAGAGCACTATGGAATCTTGCGTATCAATACAGAAGGGAGTGTATCCTTGCTATCTAGTTAAATATCTTGCTTCATTGATGAATAATTTCAGCCTCGTATGAAGTGTCAGTTTTGAAATATACTACTCAAAAGAAGTTAATGTTGCAATAGTTATCTGTCATGGCAGGATTTCTTTCATATTACCATAGTATGTCATGGGGCGGTGGGTTAGCCTAGTGGTTCAGCGTTCGCTTGTCATGCCGATTCGTCATGTCGATTCCCCACATGGGTACAGTGTGTGAAGCCCACTTCTGGTGTCCCCCGCCATGATATTGCTGGATGAGGATGATGATGTTGGAGATTTAACGAGGGCTTCCGGTGTTGCCGATTTCGCACTCGGAATTGCTGGAATATTTCAAATACGCTGCGTAAAACCATTCTCACTGACTCCCTAGAGCCATATTAACTCCTTTTGACTGGTATATCTAACCCACTTATTAATAATGTACACAAAGTGTTATGGAATTATTAGTTGGAGACTTTTGGTTGTAGTCTAGCTGCACTCTATCAGTGTTGCCAAATACCTAAAGTATTATGATAAAGCCACACCCTATTTGACTTGACAAGACCATTATTACACTGAGTCCCGTACAGATGTGACACAGATATATTTTATATACTTGTATATTCAAGTGTGATTCGTTGTTGATTTACATGATGTATTAATTTAATGATCGGTGTACTATCAAGCGTGTCAGATTGTGTTGAGGTAGTCGGTACATAGTCATTGATGGAGCATGTTGAGTGGCGAGTCTAAGCATTCTCCCCATATGTTCAATGTTGTTGCTGATGTCTTCATTAGTGGAGCATGTTGAGTGGAGAGTCTAAGCATCCTCCCCATGTTCAATGTTGTTGCTGATGTCTTCATTGGATTTTATGTCTCATGTTGAACTTTTTTATAAATAAATTTTAGATAATGATTATTTTATTATCGAATATAATCATGTTGTTGCTTAGTTAGGATATTTTAATTAACAAGGGGCTGAATTGAATATTGATCACTAATCATTATTAGAGGACAATCTGACAATCATACATCACTTCTATGTTAAAGTTCTTGCATGTAGGAGAGTAGAAATAGTCTTCCACAAGATTTCCTTGTTTATTGTCTAGCTGTTTAAATAATCCTATTGATAGACAAACCGTGACATGAGACCTGTTAGGATGAAGATTGGATGGGTATGACTGGTGGGTAGGTTTGGATGGTACTCTGGTATTTGGACAAGATGATGTAGCCTAGTGGTGAAAGTGTTCGCTTGTCACGCTGAAGACCTAGGTTCAATTGCCAACATGGGTACAATGTGTGAAGTTCATATCTTAATTCCTTGAGTTTATGGGATGGGGGGCATACGGGTCAAGTTTTGAAGCCCACAAATAAAATGTTTCACAGGTTTAACAAATAAAACATTTTTACAATTTAGTTGGAAGGGGTGATCTCTGAAACGTAACTTTTGAGATGCCCCCTGAATCTGATGTTCCAACATACAAGGATGAATATTGAATATTAGGTCAATTTCAAACCCCTGTTCCCTACATTTAAGAAACAAGCAGCAAGTTGTCTTGACTACACTACATCAGAGAGCACTGTCATGTCAAGGTCACCTGAATGCCTACACAGGTGGTATCTTCCCGAGGTAAGGGAGGTAACTGACTCTAAAAGTCTTGTTTCCACCCTTGCCCAACTAGGCTGCAATTTCCAGGCTCGATCATAGCGCCACCATTGGCTAAAAAATATGAAAGAATTTGCAAAATATCTGTGGACGACCAGTTGGCGGCACACATGCTTTGCAAATCCTGCAGGCGACCGAAATCTGCATGTTGAAATCCATGGTGTTTACGAACCGGATGTCTAGTTCGTAACGCAATTTTTATTGGACTGTGCATATACTCGTTCGTCTGGGCAAAATTTAACTCCGGAATTCCAGCCTAGTTTGGCAAGGGTGAAAACTGGACTTTTATAGTCCGTAAACACCTTGCCTCAGGAAGATGCACAGGTGGAGACGAATATCATGTTATAGTTGATTGTATAATATGTGTGTTGAACCTAACATCTCAGTTATTTACCTTGGCATGTGTACAAGCATAATGTATACACTCTGGGTATGTCTCAACTGTATTAATTGAATGTTGTAAGCTTGTCCGTTTGATAATCATTTACATTTGCAAATATGGATGTGCCTGTTTGTCTGCAACCAATTGCAAAGTGTACAAACTTAAAGTGATTCAAAATCAGAAACCTCTTCCACTTATGTATTGAATGTCATTAAGGTGATATATTTGAGGTAATGAATATGTATTTGCAAAAACAGGATTGGTGGAGAATTAATTCAACCATCTGACAATAACTTGAATGTTTAAGAGTTTAAGAAAGGCATATTCAACACCCATATGGTCTATTAGATCCGATTGCATTCATTTATCCATTGTTTAAAAATGTTATGAGGCGAAATGTGTCATATGTATTGTTTGTATTAATTAAGAAATGCATTGGAAATGGTTGTCGTGGAAACACAGGTTGCCCCATCGTCAAAAGTGCGGCAGTTCGGTCTGCAGAGTTGTGTCCCTTAGGCCATCCAGGAAGCAATGATCACGTGTCGGAATTGCAGATTCCTTTCTAGGTTTGTCAGCAGCATCCCTGTGCTCCTGGGTTTCACCAGGGTGGGAAACTCTAAGATTGCGTCACACGAGCACTGACATGGCAGGGTATGGCTTAAGTACTGTTGAAACTGGTAATGCTCCATCACTGGTCATAAGTACCCTGCTTCTAAGTCTACGGAAGCAATACAGAGTTATACATTGTTGTAAATCCATGAAAATCATATATTCTTGCCCCTTTAGCTGTACAAAGAAGACACAGTTTATGGGTAACAACTTCTTTATTTACTATAAAGGCGGTGTTTCAGTATAGATCCTTATACCCTTGTACCGCAAGGCTGAATAACGAACATGGTACAGGTGAGGTGAGGTGAGGTGAAATGGGGTTTAACGTCGCGTCCAAGATTATTGCACTTATATAGCAATGTGCATGTACTTGTGTGTGTTTGTGTGGCTGCTTGTACTGGTCCGGGCTGATGCCGATTTATAGTGCTAGCTCACTGAGATACCATGCCGCAGTTTTTAACATGAATACCCCACTCAGACACAGTATACTGACTCCGAGCCGACCAGTCCTTGTTTTAGCCCCTTAATGCTGAGCGCCAGACAGGGCAACAACAAGTACCATTGTTTAATGTCTTTTGGTATGAAGCGGACCTTCCGCTCTCCGGGCGGACGCTCTACCAATAGACCACGGAGGCGGTCTAACATGGTACAGAATATATATAGTGGGTGGGAGATTAATACTAACCACAATTGGATACAAGGAGTTTAACATGAGTAGGTAATGACAACAGAAGGATGATACCGTAACAACATGATGGACAGAGAACACATGATGAGGAAGGCAGTAAGACAGGAAGCCAATTTAACAAGATTAAGTGTGCATATTTCAGCCTTGCTTGGCAACGGCATAAGGATCTGTACTGAAACGCCTCCTTTACCGTAAATAAAGAAGTTGTTATCCATAAATTGTGTCTACTTAGTCAACCGTCAATGTCTAAGTAATGCCTATCAAACAATTCATTTAGCTGTAGGTTGTTGCCCAGCTTCGACACTTGCCTAAGTTTGGTCACTTTGCAGACCCTGGGGTAGAAACAGAACGTTGTACGCCAGTCTTCCTCCAAGATGTGCATGCTACTGTATACTGCTGTCTATTGTGATATATTTATTTGGAAAGCATGTTTTGATAGGAGATTTTATAAACAGTGAGCTACACTTTGTGCCAAACAGTCCGACTGTCAGGACATGCTGATGGTGATGTGAGATGTGCTGTAGACAGGTTTGTATTGTGCATGTTGAACCTAGTTTAAACATTGCCGAAGTCTTAATGTTGTATGTGTCAAGAGCTTTAAAACTGTAGCTAGTTCTCATTGTCAAACTTGAAATACTTTCTTGAATACTAACTTGCAATCTCAGAAAAGCACCATTAAGCTCTATTCAGCTCTGTGTGCTTGACTGGATGACTGGAAGAGTAAGCTTAGATAAGCAGCCATGAGCACTATCAAGCACTTTGCTTGACTGGATGACTGGAAGAGTAAGCTTAGATAAGCAACCATGAGCACTATCAAGCACTTTGCTTGACTGGATGACTGGAAGAGTAAGCTTAGATAAGCAACCATGAGCACTATCAAGCACTTTGCTTGACTGGATGATTTGGAGAGTAAGCTCAGATAAGCAGCAGTGAGCACTATCCAGCTTTGTGTACCTGCATTGCTTGTTGGAAACCCTAAGCAGCAACTTCAGAAAAGCAGCATGAAGCACAAATAAGCATGGTGTGCTTTCATTGATGGTTTCAAGATAAGCCGCAAGCTCAAAAGCAACATAAGCACTCTAAGCGGAAGTGCTTTTGTTTCTGATTAAGTGAAATACCTCCAAGTAAGATATTCTCAGAGAAAGTTAGTCATCCAGAAGCACAAGAGGATTAAGACAAAATCCCACAAGGAAAACCTTAGCAGTAAACTTAGTCAACTGCGTGAATTATGAATAAATTTGGAAATCTATAAAAAATAATTTTTAGATCTGTATTTTATTGTATATGTACATATTATTCAAGGGGCGTATAAAAATGAAGTTGATAGGCTCATTAGATATGTATAATTTAGTCGTGTTCATTAATTGTTATAAAGAATATGAACTTAACAAACAAATAATGACATTTGTATGTGCCAGTTCTAGACATCACTGATGCTCTTTTAGCACAGTCGGTAAATGTACAGTTAGGTGAGAGCTCAAAACATACTTATTCAGCGTTGTATAACACATCCACTCTCACATGGACGTTGTGTAGCATGTCCACATGACAAGAATTGACAGTGTTGTGTGTGATGCCGGCATAATGGTACGTCCCGTTACATGCATACAGAAACCTGCATACAGAAACATACAGTGTCACCACCTAGATATGTCAGACACTCTTCAACATCACATACCAGGTATTCAACACTGGTATTCAGCACAGGAAATGATATACCGTATTCGACGTAATAAGCGCCCAGGGCGGTCTCAAAATAAGAAATAGGGGGCTCTTATTAGAATAGTATTTTAGTTGGAAAAAAACAGAGTTGAAAGATAAATTTCGTGGTTTATGCTGACGGTCTGAACTGTTTATATACGACAGACATATTTTTCCAGAATATAATTGCCCATAATTAAGGGTGCATATAACACGAGTGCGTATTATACACGAATGAATAAGTCTTGTGTACATTGATCAGTCGGAAGGGATGCTAATTGGGATTGTTCACTTGCCAATATATTAGCAAATATCACCCTGGGCGCTTATTAGAGCGGGGCGCTTATTACGTCGAATACGGTATTGATATTTATTGAAAATAAAACCTAGTCCAGAGTCTTAAGTGATAATGGATGGTGGGGTAGCCTAGTGGTTAAAGCATTTGCTCGTCACGCTGAAGGCCCAGGTTTGATTCCCCACATGGGTACAATGTTTGAAGCCCATTTTTGGTGTCCCCCGCTGTGATATTGCTGGAATATTGCTTAAAGCAACCTAAAACCCAACTCACTCACTCTCTCAAGTGATATTGGTTTCCCTAGGTTTCACCAAGGAATTAGCCGATCAATCAATCATAGGATTAATTGATTGATTGATTGATTGGCCATTCCTGCCAACACAGACACAGTAACACAATTGTTTATTCCATTCTAAACCAGAGGATTATTTATGTGATAAACATTTCCTCATTTCTGTTGTGCTTCCCAAGGTCACATGACAAGGTCGAACAGCGACATACAAGGAGTAGAAATGCTGATCGCTGTGCATCAGTTTGACATGATGACATGATGCCAAGGTCCTAATGCTCAAACTGTTTCAGTCCCAGTTATCAGTCCCATGTGGACATCATCAGTCC